GTCAAGGGGGATGTAGCCTTTGACCTCAGTGGAGGAGATCTCAGCCCTTAAAATAGGAACCATGTCACTGATATGGTGACCTGGAAATAACTTATGACTCAGAGCTGAGCATCAGAATCCAGAGAAAATGATGCTCATTTAAAAGGTAATAAAAAGTTGAAGCACACGGAAATATTTGAAATGCTGCACGAGAAGGAATTATTTTTAAGAAGATTTCTGGTTTATATTATCCAGAGCACCCCAATGGAATAGCTCTGTATTAATAATATCTCATCTATTATGTATATTGTAATATGCCTAACACAATTGCTGAAGTAATTTGGTGCTGCTAATTCTTCTCTTTCTTTTTATTCCCTTTTCTGAAGAGGTAAAGAGATTAGGAGAGTAGTTTAGAGTGAAGTATACATTGCACTACAGACTTCCCACAGATTAGAACTATCAGTTATTGTATTTCCTGTTTTTCTATTTCAGCCTAAAAAATCTATGCACTTCTTGAGCTCCACTTTTATTCTGACTCCATTTTAATGCCCACTGACTGCACTGTATCATCTCATCATTGTATTACTTATTTTTGATTATTTAATATTTCACTAGAATTCCATTCTCAAGTTACTTTAATATAGTCCTATTTTAAAGGTGCCAAATAAGGAACCTAGGAAATGAAGAATTAGCTGAATATTGAATTTTTAGCCTGAAAGTTCTGAATAATCAGGGTTAAAGAGTCCTGTCTGGTCCTGTCTATAATACACTGACCAATACGAGATGTCTTTTGAGATGTCTTTTCTTCTGACATACTACATAAAGCTTCATCATTGTAAATTATTTTAAACCTTTTGTAAGTGTTTGAAAAGTCACTGGGAAAAATGCAGAGGATTTAGAAGTAAATCTGTGAGCCTTTAGCTGTTTCAGATTTTCCCCCCACTGTGCCTCCATAAGAGATTCCCTCTGTTAACTCATCACTAAAGCAATTGTGTACTACTTAACAGAGGTGCTATTTTCTACTTCATGTGTCTCCCTATGAATTGTGCAAGAGGCATTAGAGAACCCTGCCTTCCACTGAACACATAAAAAGGCATAGCAGAAAAAGCTTTACAGATTTATTGCATTCTCTATGCGTTGCCTTTCTGGGAGGGAGGGAGAGAATTGGAGCGGGTCCTGCTGTGGAGCAGAGTCTGCAAGGACACAGGAAAATCTTTGCTAACCCCCAAAGACTTTGAATAGCTCTGTACAGCAGTCCTTATTATCATGTACATATTTTTCAGGTACTACTTAGAGATAACATTGAAGAAATGTGACACAAAGTCTGGTTCCTCTTTCTCTCCTCAACCCTTACATCCATGATTTCCAGATCAAGGGAAGGATGGCAGGGATTGAAGTCCAGGAATGCTTCAGGAGGAGGCAGGACACAAATATCTTTCCAGATGGAACTTCCCAATGCACCTCTCACCACCAGTCATAGGTTTCCTATGCCACAGGAGCTATCCCCTTGGGAAGAGGTGTGATTTTCCACCTGTGGTGGGCAAACTCGTGTCCTCACTGGGGAGCCAATTTCCAGAGGAGTCCTGTGGCACCAGCAGCCATACTGCAGCTGGGCAGGGAGTGGTCACAAAGAGGCAGATATGAACCCAAATCCTTTTTGTCACTTGCTGCTGGGTAGGTGACATTAACCTCTTCTGCATTTTCTAGTGCTTGATCCACATACAGAATCTGTATGAACAACTGGGTGAAGCCACATGTCTGTCATTCCCCAAACCCTGTGTGCCATGAGGACCACAGAAGCAGGGTTAGTACAGCAGCAAAATGCATCTTTCCAATAGAAAGGTTCTCTGTTGTTTTCTCATGTGCTGACAGAAAGTCCCATGCTCTCAATGCAGATTTATTTTATCCTGCTTGGGGGGAAAAACAAAGTAAACAAAGCAACTTTAAGGGTATATAGAGTCTCATCAAGAAAGTTACTCATAAAATGTTTTGGACAATCTCCATCTTCAATTGTCCTGGAGTCCAGCATGACTCTCTCCAATTTCAAATAAAATTAAGTCTTAACTGTTGCTGAGCTGTGTCTGTGATACACCAAGGGTTGTTTTTCCATGTGCAATTGTGGCTTTCTGGATATCTCAGTTGGACCTGGCCCTCTGAAGAGTGGGTGTAATTGGGGGACTGCTCTGCTCAAATGCCATGCTCTGCTTCAAGATTGTTTTCATTTGGGGCAAATATTCAACCACTGGCATTATTAGGCTGAGCAACATAAGGCCTAAGTACTAATCTGAGGTTTCTTAGTCAGTTCTTGACTTCTCAGACCTTCACTGTTTTGCCATCTGCTATAATTGAAAATTGCCTTCTGCAACCGAAGGGAAAATCTAATTTCTCAGCAAGCCATATGGGGTTATTAAGATCATTAAACCCTGGTATGCCATAATGCCTGGGCCAAAAGGACCACAGGGCACGCAAATATTGTGTGATTCATTTTGTAGCTTCAGACTGCAAGTTAGGAATTATTTTGATGGCTATCTTATGATGAAAAGTGCTGGTCAAGTAGGTTACAGCAGATGTTGATTGGTGAGGTCAATCCATGGCATGTTTGCTCAGAGCTGTGACGGATGAGACGTGGTTTTAATGGTGTTTGATCACAAAGGGTAAATCTTTTGTATCAGCCTGACAAATGATCAGAAACCAGCCAGTGCCCTTAGTTGTGCCAGTGATGCTAAAGGCAGCCTTGAGTAATAAGAAACCAGAGAATACAATTTCTACTTTTCAGGAGGCCCCAGACTTGGCTTCTCATACAGGGTCTAAAGCTGATGATATAAATTGTACTCCCCTTCCTTTCTTAAGAATGGGAAAGCTATTCCCCTGCAGTTGCCTATTCTTGAACACTATAGAACTGAACTGCTGGAATTTTTCCTCTATTTTCTCTGTTTCTCTAGTTGTGATATTTTGTGAGATTTCTCCCTTGCAAACCCACTTCTACATATTTGATACAACCGTGTGTGAGAATATTAAAACTGATTTTTGGCTAACGAGGCTTCAGAAATGAATGCAGGAGCTGTGAAATTTACATGAAATTAAAGAAAAAATACTTCAGTAAATGCAAATAAATGCAGAAATGAATATTTTAATTTGGATTCATGATTAACGCCAAAGGATTACCAGCAAACCATTACAATGTGATGACATAAAAACTCAATGGAAATAAAAATTCTATATGCACTAGTTAACTGATGGAAGGAAGCTATTTTTAGTAGGACAGCTCAGACTAATTTATTTGTTCTTTAAAAAAAGAAGCTACTGATTGTATTTCAAGTTTTGTCTATGATAATTATGTCTCAGAATATTTTTACTGGTATAGTATTGTATCAGTTTCTGCATTTTACAATGGGCCAACCAACTATGATCACTAGATTTATACCCATTCTTTAACTTATTAAATGAATGGTATTGAAAATAGGCATTGCTGATTGTCACTTTTCTTTATGCTATGTAAATAAAGGAGTTAAGAACAAATTGTTATAATTATATACAAGAATAATATATAAGAAAAAAAAGTGAAAATTTTTTCCCTCCTTCAGTTTTCCAGTGATCTCAATCTGACTGCATTTATTTCCTCTGTACGTCCGGGGTTTCTGTAGGTCATGGTTTCTGTTTTAAGACAATAAGAACCAAAGCATGTTTGAATAGGCTTTAGTTTCTGTAGTACTGTGGTCAAGACATATTACTCTTTTGAAATCAAGACAAATTAAATTAGGTAAAAAAAAGTATTTCCTGTTCTAGTCATACTTTGACTGTCCAAATAGCTTTCGTGTTTTAGTGTCCTTGGAAATCACAGTTAGAATAAGAGAGTGATATAATTTTCCCAAAAGTTGGGAGTCCACTTATTGTTTAAATATACTTTTTTCTTTTCTTTGAGAAGCCATGAAAAAGTGTGGTTGGTTTTTAATTTGCATGAGGCGTGTGTTTTTTGAAGTTTTTGTTGTTCTCTACCCACTCCTCAGGCTGACAGCCCAGGATGGCACTTGGAACTAGTCTGAAGGATGCACACCCATAATGTGCGTAGGGTCCAGGTAGGCATAGCTTTCCAGACGCAAAATCCTTGGGAAAGGGGTGGGGATGAGTGGAGATGGGAGTTGAAGACCTTGTCGTTAGGTCAGGATTCTCAGACATCCCATGACTGTGAACCTGCTGCCAGGATGGCATTGCATTTCCATACCGACACACCCTTCCCCCCTGCCTCCTGTGCCTTAGACATGAGCCTGTGCCTCCTCTTTTGTTGTAACTACTCTTCTGTAGTTACATTCATTTGAGATGACTGTATGAAAAAATCCTCACCCTGCACTAATTGCAGTGTCCATCTTAATACATCTCAAACAAGGGGAAAAATGAACGGAGGCCTCAATAATGAAGTGTTGCTGGCATGACATGCATGCGCTTAACAGAAACTATCATTGTGTCTGAATGCTAATTAAAGGCAGCACAAACCCAGTAAAATCCTAACTCATCTGAAACTAATGGGAATTTTATCTCAACCATGTGCAAGTTTTGTTTCTGGCTTCTTTAAGCACTGCTGGTGGTGCTGTTCTTTGATGTGGATCACAAGTGAGCCCATGAGGAATTATGCAATGGAAACAATTTGAAGTCATCCCTGACCTAATCTGGCTCAAAAAATATCAAGAGCTCATAATATGCTTACTGTCATATAAGGCTGAGCACGTTTATATTTGTCTAACTTCAGTTTTGAGGGTGCCATGAACTATGGATGTGACTTCCCCTTAATATCTTCACCTTCTGCATTATCAGAGCAGTAAATGCATACATGACTACCGTGGTGAAAGTCTCAAATTATGAGAATTAGTCCAATCTAAACATCAGTGCCACATGTAAGTTGTGTTTTATTGATTCCTCTTTTTCTCATTGTTAGACTGATTCCTTCTACACAGGATATATTCATAGTCTTTGCTTAATTTTTTATTTCAGCCTTAGCAGTGTATAGAATCAAAATTTATTTTTACCTGTGTGAATGATTCAGAGCAATACCAGGTTTCCCCAGTTTTTAAGTAGCATATCAACTTTACCTCAATATCACTGGCAACAGTGCAAACATCTTTTGGGGATGTCTTCAAGGGCTGGTCTAAGAAATGCCTTTAGTGCAAAGCTGTACAAGAAACAAACTCACTAATTACTAATGTTATAATACACTGTTTGTTAGGTAGAAACACTTTTTGTCACTGATAAATGGAGAAAAATGAAGTAAAATATACCTTGGTTTTAACTAAAGTCAGTCCTAGAGAAATCAGTGCAAATATATGGGAACATAATACAAAATGTGGCGTCATATTCCCAGAAGGGAAAGAAAAAAAGGCGGAGAATGAGCTAAAAACTAAAAAACACTGTTTGGGAAAGGTACAGTTTCTTTCCTATTTTCAAAAATTAAGGCTCAAGTTCAGGCTCCCCAAATCCATGGCTGTCTTCGGGTCAAGGTCGAAGGAGAAGTCTGAGAGCTACTTACTTCAGTAAACCAGTGGTAAACTCTGCCTTAGGCTTTGCTTTGTCCCACAGGTAGGAAAGAAATGAGTGATACAAGCCAAGGAAAGCAGAAACTCTCCTCTTCATTTAATGGGAGGACTTGTTATTCCAGAAAATTGCTGTGGAAAGTAAAAGGGATGAGGTTAAGCATCTTTCCCGTTTTCTTGAGCTGTACAGAACTTAGTAGAGAGAAATATCATGTTTTCTGTTTTAAAATACTCTTTTTTTTTTTCTGGTAGATAAATCACCTGCTGTTCATGACAGCCAGTGACTTTCTCATTAAATAAGGTTCTAATTAATAATATGCATCATTAGAATTAGATAACCCACAACTTCTTAAAAATTCAGAGAGCTCTCAGCACTGGCAGAGCTGTGATACTGGGCAGGACCTACTTCAGTCTTCAAATCTTTGTTTTATTGATCTACAGGCAAACTGATTTTGTAATGCCAGAAAGTAGTGAAAATTGACATTCAGTTCTTGAGAAAATTCAACTCTAAGCACATAGATTAAGTCTAAGAGCCCTGTCTTTCAGGACAATAACCATATAGTGCTACTAATGAAAATGCGATTGAACGCCCTTTGCTTGGATAAGCCTCCCTAACGGGATTGTTTAGTGTGCAATGATTTCGTCTGACTAAGTGACTTCACTGAGAATCAGCTTTAAAAGTAGATTTCTAATGAAGACTAACAAAGTAAAATTTTTCTAGGCTGTGTGCTTAAACTCTTGGATCACATTGAGACCAATGCTGAGGACCTGCTGATGTGGATGGAATGGATGAAGGCAGCCTCTGCTTTAAGTGGGGTGTTACCAAGGGACTCTTCCTTGAATCTGTTTTGCCAATCACCACAGCTTTAAAATAGAAGGAGGGGCATCTGGCTTGTTTGTCCAGCTCCTCATCCCTAATGAGATTAGTTATAATAATTACTTTCTTGTGTCTATGTATTTACAATGCAGTGGTTGATCTGTAGGAGGTGCAATGTCAACTCAGCAGGTTGAGATCTCTTTAGATGATTAAATCTGTCAAGAAGAAAAGCTCTTCTATATATGCATTTTCCTCCCTCTGTCTGGTCCTTAAACCTAAGAAGGATTATTGATTCACATCCACACTTAGCACCCTCAGAGATAACCCTGTCTTTCATCTTTTTGTCCACTGGTTAGAGAGATCAGCTCAATTCTTTACAGGCAACAAGGGTCATTCAAGGGAGTGTCCCCACAGTTCAGGTGTGACAAATATTTTTTCTTTCCCATTCCTTCTCTGCTGAGCAAAGTTAAACAGTGTATATAATAACACCCATACCTTTAAGATTTTCTACCATCTTGTTATCAGTAGAAGTTATAAATCAGAGTATTCATCACTTTTAACTTTGCTCATGGTACCGCATATGTCTGCTGAAGTGTCTCTGTGGATAAGATGGGCTATATGTAGCTAAAAGACCCAGAGAATTATGTTCACATCAGTGAACATAAAAGTATCATCAAGTTTTTCTGTAATAACACTTTTCAGCTGAATTGGCCATGCTGTGACCTCTGTTAAATTTATGGGAATGAGAGATTTGAGGCTACTCCATGAACTTTCAAGTTCTTGAATGATTGTGAGAAGAAAAGAATCGTATAGGGATCCCTTCAGTATAAAGTACTGCAATTCAGAATTTCCTTGAGTCTTAGTGCTGATATGAAGAGTTATGTTTAGACCTACATAACCCCTCAGTTATCTTTGACAAAAACCAAGACATGAGTCTCTCTAAACCATATCTGAACAGATAAGGATTCAGAAAATATGTTTAAATACAGTAAAGATTGGATTCTGTCAAGTCTTCTCTAAGACATCTCAGAGTAAGAGTTCAAAGAAACTAATAATAAGTCAATCTTTATTCTCACAAAATCAGAGTCATATTTTAAAGGGATGTGCCTGTGTTTGGGACCATCTAAGCTGTATACCTTTTCTGTCCCAGTCTCTCTCCTGGTCTTTGTGTAGCATTTCCACAGCAGATCAGTGCAGACCAGTTTCATACAAACAACAGCAACGTGCACAAAAAGTAAGATTCAATTTAATTTTGCAGAAACTGTTCCTTCTGTACTAAGCAGAAGAGTTATGAATGTACAGACCAGCCTTAGTGTCTGGTGTTAGTGAGATGCACAATTCAATCTGCTCACTGCTGTAAGGACTTTTTTGGTAGCAATATAGACTCCACTGGTAAAGGCTTCTGTTGGGTGAACTATGTCTATGCAGCCTGAAAACCACATCGTTTTCCAAGCTCTGATAGAGATGATGCCTTCTCTGTGTGTGTGTTTCACCACCCTTTTCCTGATCTTTCTGATAAAAGAACTTGGCTATGCTGCAGGAGAAGGACTGTTCCCTGGCATTTTCCTATCTGACACTGAGTATTGAGTCTGACTGAGTGTTCTTGGGGGGTAAGGCAAAGTCAGTGCCAGAAAGCACCTGAAAAAGCTCATTTGGGGAAGTTCCCAGGGGAGGAATTAGACAGGAAGGAGACAGTGAACTGGGACTGTCAGCACAGCTGGGGATGTGGAGAAGAATTGTAGAAACACTCAAATCTGAGTTTCAAAGGGGAAGAGAAGAAGGGAAATTTCCTGGTGATCCAAAGGAACTTCTGTAGCTGTAACTTTGGAAAAGCCTGCTGTACTGAGAGCAAGGGAACAATAAAGGCTGTGCCATGTACAGACATAATGAGCAGGGAGGAGATTTGTTTGCAATTTCCACATTCCATCTGGAAAAACCGACCCTTCTTTATCTTGCTGCAGTCTGCTGTCCAATAGCACGAACTCTGAATATAAAAGGGGCTGTTGGTGGTTTGGATTGCTTTAAGTAAAAGCTAAAAACATCTCCATCACACTCCTCTGAATACCTTTAGGTCTTGTCACAAGGACAGGCAACTTTAGGTGTGGGCTTGGAGAGGTAGCTTCACTGCCATTGAGGGTTTCTTTCCCAGAGTTATGTTACAGAATTTTATTTTAATTCCAATCTGGGAAATTTGTGTATACATCTTACTTAAGACTTTCAGTCTACAAAAATCTTGCCAAAATCTTAAGGGTTATAGAGGCTATGAAATTGAAGCAAACAACTTAAACATTTGAAGCTTTACAGCCAATCTCAGGTTAAAAAGCTGAAATGTGCCATTTTATGTCCTTCTTTACCACAGCTAGAAAACCTAACAGCATCTTTTACTTTCAGACTTAGTGGACTTGAGAATACTCTGTGCAGTAGACTGGAATATTTTTCCAGAAATAATTTAATTTTAAAAAAGTGTCCTTGTTACAGGTGGAGGTCACTGTGCAAGTTTTGTGTGTACATGTGCCCTTTAGAAGACTGCTGCTGACCACTTGGAAAACCATTCAGAGTATATAAATGAAATGTAAGAAATGAAAGCACTACCTGAAATTTCTGTATTAGTGCTGAACTGACACTAATTATGTTAAACTTTTACTGATAAAGGAGGTTTCTCTTGCAATGTGTAGGACCCTAAAAATATATTGCTGAAACCACAGTTGTATAAAGGCTTGTGATTAAGTAGTTTGCCAAAGGTCACAGAACAAGTCTGTGACACTGTGACCTCAGCATAGATCCTATGGTATTAAGGCTTTAATTTTCGCAGTAAGCAAGGACATATTATGAGTAAAGATCTCACAGACATTCGTTAATAAGAAAGAGAGGAAAAGATTTCAAACCCATTGTGACTTTGGTAAAAAAACCGTGGACATGCTGATCATTAAGGTAGCTCCTAGTTATCATATGTGTAATTTGGAAGAACAAAATAAGATCTCTGGTGATTTGTACATTGACACATTGGAATTGTTTTCACTGAAAACAAGATGAAAGGTTCAAGTGTCAGAAACTGGCAATGGTAACAGTTTACTGATCACTGCTATAGTTTTTGTGTATGTTAAATTTGGGAATATGGTTTGTCTTAAAGAAGGTGCCAAGAGATATCTGTCTATATGTATGGATATAGATACATTTTGACAGCAAATTTAGCTTGGGAAAGCAAGTAAATTTGGTCAAATGGTGTGTGGCAATGAGATTTTTTTTTTAAGCTGCCATAAGATCACTCAGGCTTTCCCCTGCCAGGCTGAAAGGGTTAAGAGCTAGTTTGAATACAGCAGTAACCTGTCAGCCTTGCTGGAGATGATTACTTTCCTTTTTTTTAATTTTTTTTTTTTTTGTTAGCAGAGGAATGTTTAATCATCCCTCTCTGTTTTAAAGATAACTGCGTGGTTTTCCCTGGAGTGATTTTTAAAGTGGTTAATCAGAGGGACAAACCTGAAAAGGCAAAAAATACTTTAATTAGTGCCTTTTCTTCTGACCAGCCAACAGTCCTAACCAGATGCCTTCACTTCAGAGCCGTCCAAGTAATCAGCCTGGTAACGTCACTGCATCGCACATCAGGCACCTGGCAAGTTGAACACTGACTGCATCCCAGAAAATGTCTGCTAAGGAAGGCTACTTCTGAAAATTACTTTCAAAACCTGATAGCAAGCTTCTCACAGGGCTGGAAAGAAACTGCTTTTTGTATATTGAACTGTAATCCAGCCCTTACAACTATTAGGCACTATCAAAAATGCTGCAGGAAACCAGCATAACAAAGAACCAGTTAAAGGCAGTTTTGTTTCAGTGGAGAGAGGGAAGAAAAAAAGTCAGTATGGAGAATAGAAAGCATGAGGTTTTTCTCTCAGTGATATGGTTTCATGCAGCATAGCTTTCCAGCTTCTATTCAAAGTCGTACTGACATCTTGGTATGCAATTTCAGTCAGCAGATCAGGAATTGTATATAAACCCCCTGTCTTTATTGTTAATGAGGTTTGTGTAAATAACTTGCTAGAAAACATATTGAAAACATATAATTCACTACTAAATATGAATGCAGATGGCAGGTAAGGGGAACTAAATTTACTAGCCTTCCTGCAGCTTGCTCTGCAATGGATAATTCAAATAATATATACATATGATATTTTTGGCATATTAGCTGCTCTATGCAGAGTTAGCAATGGATTTTGTAATAATAATGTGTGTGCAGGACACATTTGCTATCTTGAGCATGTTATTGGTTACACAGTACTGGCTGTGAGCCAGCTATACCTCAGATATGCTAAGTTATGAGAAATGATCCCTATTTCTATTCAGAAAGCCATTGCTTTCCAGAAGAGCATGGATCTGGTGAGTATTGACTTTGGCAGATGAGTTTAACAGGCTGCTTACCCTCACTGTGGAGTCTGGTGGGGTGGGCTTCTGCCTGCTCTCCCCACATTACCATTGGGTTTATCTTTAGTCCTGTCTGTGTCTAGGCTTAAGCTTCTTCTTCAGCTACAACCAGGCTTTGTGCAGGAACCAGAGGCACATGGAAGGGATTTGGTGACTGGGTGGGGCAGAATGTTAGAGAGGTTGAAACCCAAATTTTATGCTCCCCAAAGGCTGACAAGTTCTGCCTACCTGTCACCGTTTTGGCCTTTTTTGGAATCAAGAGCTCTCTGCAAAAATGAGATTTCAAGTGCCCACCAAATTCAGAGGATATAACATTTTAGTTTGTGCTCATTTCTAGGTGGATGCTGCTTTATAAAAATAAACTTGACGTGAATCTTTCCCTCCCACAGGAGCTAACGATGTTCCCTGCAGCACTCCCAAGCCCAAGTCATTCCTGTTTATTGGCCCAACTTCAGATAAAGGTTTCACCTCTCCCCCATGCAAACTTAGGGGTCTTTCTCATAAAGTAAATATTTTGCTTTACAAGCATTGAATCAGGAGCAAAGGTTTTTAGGAAAATATCTGTCTGACTTCAGCTTAATCTGTATGCTATGCTATAAATCTTTGCCTCTCATTACCAGCCCCTATTTTATGGAGTGTTCTAGTTATCTCAGCACTGCCAAGGTGAGAGGAATTGTCATAGAAGAAAAAAAACCAAAACAAAACCCAACCCAAAGCTCTAATGGAACATATATAGTGGAATCATTATACTACAACAGTTTCTGAGGAACTTTGTATTCTGTGCAACACACCAAAATCTCTTTTATAGATTGCCTTTGTAACACAAAATTTGTCTGTCCTCCTCTGTGAGTCCATCCAACATCAAACCAAAGCGAGGATGGTGTAAATATTCCGTGTGAGAACCAAGCAATCAGACAAAAGTCCAAACTAATAGCAGGACCTCCTCCTGATAGGGGTGTAGTTCAAAAAGCCTATTGGACTCTGAAGCAGGAGCATCAGTCTGTTGATAGTGTTCACAGGAGGAGCTGGCCAAAATGAATGGGTTTTTTTTGAAGGGAACTGTCAGCTGGTGTGATGTGACTATATTGTAGCAAGATT